GTAAAAACTGAACTTAAGACTTTCTTGAACACTTGTTTTAAATCTTACCAAAATACCTTTCTCAGGTTCATGTGTTCATTCAGCAAATATAATAGTGATATCCTAAAGTTAAAACTTCTGCCTTCATAGTGAAAACACAAACCTCATAATTTATCAGTTATATAAATATAGATATAGAGATATGTATAGAAACATGTAAGTAAACCATTTCAAAACATTTTATTTCTATATTAAGGAAATGATTTAAGTTCCACATTAGCTAGGAAGGTCATGATTTTGGAGTCTGAGCTTTAGCTATAATGAAACACTTGTCTCATATGAATATGCAGGATTTTGTATTTATTCCCAGTCATGATTTGAGGGATACCCAAAGGAGAGTTCATTGTATTTAGACAAAATTTCTGTGTCCTTTTAGTGTTGACTAGAGTCAATATTAACCATATTTGCAATGTCATCTTTATCTGGAATAGATTTTAATTTAAAATGCAATTAAGATTATGTCAGTAAGGACTCCTTACATGCAAGCAACAGAAAGCCCAGACTGATTAACATAATAAGAGAATGTATTTACTCATGAGGTTGGAAATCTCAGAAGTAGGGCAGCTTTGCCTCAAAGTCTCACTGTGTCTCAGGTCTCATTTTCCTGTAATTCTCTCAGGTTCTTCCCTCCTTTGTGTTTGTCCTCACCCTTAGACTAGTTTCCCTCATGCAGGGAAAGTAGGAAGACAGCTTCCAGGATATCTAAGGCTCCCCATCTCCGTCACTTCTAGATGGAGAAGATCTCTTCCACCAAAATCATCAATGGAAGATCCAAAGTTTCAGATTGGATTAGCTTTCAGCATATCATCAGCTCTAAACTATCAATGTCAGAAGGAAGATGGAATTCTCTTGATTAACATGAGCTAATTCTACCTCTAGAGCTAGAGATATATTCAATTTTATATAAATCGTATGTCTGCTCTTCTGGAAGAAAGGGTTAAACAAATCATTGAGGACCACCAGAATGATCACTGTCAAAGAAAATAAAGCAATATTTCTAAAGTGCACTATTTGCTCTCATATCATGTTCAGTTATATAAAACCGTATATATGGTTTTATATATATGTATGTATATTTATTCCTTGAACTGGAAGAACTCACAAATTAGATTTTGTGAAGCTTCCTAACTGGATAATTACAGTCTAGGAGAGTGACTAATAAATACAATATTATGTGATAAATACCACACCCAACAACAGAAACATAGTCTTGGAATTACATGAGGCTCAGATCCAAGCTCTGTTATACCCTAGTTATGTGGCCTTTGGCACATGTCCTGAAAAATAAAATGTATATAATAGCACTTTATCATTCATGATGGATTCAGCTACAAGAAATACAAAGCCAAAATGAAATTACTTCATGTTAAAGAAGACCAGGTTGATTGCTTCAGATACTTGGTGACATAATTAAGGGCTGAACTTCTTTGCATTATGCTGAGAAAACCTTCACTTATTACCTGCTTGCTAGATGGCTACAGGGGCCCAAACCATCTCTTCACATAGGGCCCAAAAGGAAAGTCATACATCATCTCTTTGCTCTTACCAGCAACAGGACTCCTTGTCAGAAGCCACTCTTTGGTCCACCCTGCCCCCCACTAGCACACTTCCTCTAATTTGGTCAGAATTGCATCACATGCCCGTGTCTAACCTCTACCTAGTAAAACTAGTAAAATTGTAAGATCACTCTAGAGTAATGGATATTGATCCTCTTGAAATATGCAGTGAGGAAGCTTTCTTCCTCCAGAATATATAGATAAACAGAGAAAAAGCACTAAAAAACCTGGAAGGAAAGTCAAGAAAGGAAAAGTCATGTGTTGTTAGAAGTAGAGGTGGACATGGCCAAGATGGACTTGGGAAGCAATCACAATGCCTACTAAACCAGCCCAACAGTTAGTAAAGAAAAGATCTTAGAACAGTACATAGAATGTGCAAGGGCTCAATAAATGGTTATTAATGTTAACTTAAAAAAAATAAAAAAGACAAGTATAGTCAGGGAAGTTTCTCCCGAGATGATTCACGTTGGGTATTAAAGACAAAGATATTATGAAATTGCCTAGTTGAGAAATTACAAAGAAAATGTGTATATTGGCACTTTAAAGGGGTTGTGGAGGTTGTAAAAGTAAACAACTAAAGGGATGCTTCGTTCCAAATTTCTGGTTTGACACGAGGTATAGTAGAGAAATCCAGAAACACTTTAAGCATTCTGGCATGAAGTGAACAATATCTATGGATGTCTGTGTCATTTGTTAATACACAGAAGTGTCAGGTTTGGTTACAGAGATGAGCAGGATCAGGGATGAGCATGATGAGACTGAAGTGTCTGCAGAAGATACCAGTGCTGATTTAATTGTAGTACAAACTGACACTATTCAGTCCATTCAGGAAGACTTACTTACTGTATACCTACTGTGTGCTTGGGACTAAATCAAATCATTCAAAGCAATCTTATATAATCTTTTCAACCCTTCTTTAGGATAGTTGCCCACTGATCTCCAACTGTGGCTTTCAAAACCTATTTTGGAATCCATTCACTAGTGCATCACTGATAGTTAATTACATTGTTGGCAGCAACATTCTCAAACACAAAAGCCACATTGTGTATGTGAACTCAGGAGTGTGTTTATCTGTCTCTCATTATAATTAGAATCAGCTCTGCTTACTCATTAGCTATTTCTATACACTCAGAACCTGGCAATCAAATGCTTGACAATGCGTTGAGTGAAATAGACTGATGAAATACAAGATTCAGATACCTGTAATGAAATTCTTAATGTTGATAATAAATTACATAAGTATACACATACACACACACACACACACACACACATATGTATATATATTCACACACATTCACATGTATAACTTGGCACTTACTAGTGCTTTACAAGTTATAAAGAATTTTCATAGACATTATCATGGTTATTTTCATGTTGATAGACACTATTTCGTTGACTAAACTTTTATTTTGAGATGTTTTAGATTCACATACAGTCGTTAAGAAACAAGGCAGTGGGATTCCATGCATCCTAAACCTAGTTTTCCCTCAATGGTAACATTGAAAATCTGTCCATCACATCACAATCAAGATATTGACATTGATACAGTCATGATTCCAACATTACTTTGACCTCAAGTTTCCCTCCTGTTGCCTCTTTATAGTTAACTCCTTACTGTGTTACCTGCTCCTTAATTTCTGGAAATCACTAATATGTTCTCTAGTTTAAAATGTATATAATTTCAAGACTGTTATATAAATAGAAGCATAAAGCTTTTTTTTTTTTTTCAGTCAGCTTTATTCACTTGGCACATCCTTCTAGATATTTATCTAGGTTGCGGCTTACATCAATACTTCATTTCTTTTTCTTGTATTATTCTCATGGCATATCTGTATTACAGTTTGTTTAACCATTCCCTAGTTGATGGACATATGTGTTACTTCCACTGTGGACATAATACAAATAAACCTACTCTAAAGATTCTTGTCCATTTTTTTTTTCTACAAACACTTATCTTCATTTTTCTGGGATACATGCCCAGGAGTGAAATTGTTGGATTATATGTTATTTTAATGTTCCATTGCTTAAGAAATTGCTAAAATGTTTTCCAGAATTCTGATGACATGAATGTTAGATATATTATTACATTCTCACAGGTCCCTGAGGCTCTGTTCACTTTTACTCTTCCTTTAGCTTTATTAGTGGTATTTATATGATACACATATACTTTATTATGTACATTATATATGCATATCTTATTAAAGTCTACTCATATCATTTTATCAGTCTGAGTGACATGTAGAAATATCATCTATTTTTTCCATTTTACCATCCTCCATTTGTAATACAATTATCTTAAATATTTGCTCTACATATACTTAAAGCCACATAAGATACAGTGTTATACAATAAAACATGATTGACAAAACCCAAAAGAGGGAAAATATATTGTTTAAACCATATTTTTTATTTATATATAGCAGCGGAATGCATTACAATTCTTATTACATATATTTTACTCTTTCCATTATACTTTCTCCCTCATTTTCAAATTTGCTGGTAAATAGATGGAACTGGAGACTCTCATGCTAAGTGAAATAAACCAGTCCCCCCCCCAAAAAAGGCCAAATGTTCTCTCTGATATGTGGATGCTAACACACTATAAGGTGGGAGGGGTGGAATAATAGAACTACATTGGATTAGACAAAGGGGAATGAAGGGAAAGGAGAGGGAATAGGAATGGGAAAGACAGTAGAATGATTTGGGCATAATTTTCCTATGTTCATATATGAATACACACCAGTGCAACTCCACATCATTTACAACCACAAGAATGGGAAGTTGTACTCCATGTATGTATGAC